TCGAAACAGAGTTCGTTACCAATATGCAAAGTCGTTACAGAACTCAATATGGAAAAAATCCACCTTCAGATAATGCCATCCGACGTTGGTTAAGGCAATTTCAATAGACTGATAGTGTTCTGCACCGAAAAGGAGCAGAAGACCGAGCACTTCGCATGACGATGTCAATCGACGCCAGGAAACTTGGACATTTTATGTGCCACGAAGGGCGTGCATGCTGAAGTTGTTTAGGATTCTGCAGCATTGCATCTACGAGTAATAAAAATTTCTGAGTTACACTGTATAACCTGCATGCAGTTTTATTTTGCTATTACACGCCACGGAAACTCCGACAAAAATTTAGAATGACTGTACATCTCGTCAGGACCAACTCTCCGCTCAGATGTGGAAAGAGAAGCCGAGACACGATTCAAATAAAAACCACTGGAACCGTGTACTGAACTTCAGGCTATGGAAACACTGGAACTGCGTTCCTTACGATTTTACATTTGTTGACAAGAACCCTGGAGCCGAAATTTCTTGCTGAAAGACCGACCAATCCGTGTACCATTGCGGTCAGAGAAGAGGTTCTTACCTTCTACTCTGCACTACAGCCCAATCAGCCTCCTGTCCAGTGAGTACTGGGTAGGGATCTTTCTACAGGGTAAACCAACAGCAAAGTACGGCTCATGACTCATCTCTGTGTTTTGCCGGGGCTAAAGATATGTGGAGCTGTACGTCCACTCCCCCATACGTTGTCACGGCGCTGTGCTTAAATAATTAAACGAACAATTTTACATTTTACAGAAGACATTCAGTGCGGCCTAAGGCATGAAATGTCTTCGTCTGCTCGAACACTAGAATCGTGGGTTCAAATCCCACTGGAGGCATGAATGTATGCCTGCGTTTTTCTGTTTGTTTCAAGTTCATACAGAAGGACAATGCACCAAACAAATACACTAATGGCGGATCTGAAGTGCTCACAGTGGTGACTATGAATACTTCTATCTTCTGGGACGCAACGCCGTGTTATCCGGTAAAATTCAATCTACGTTTCGGGGCAACATACCCCTCAGCATCGTCAGAATCGATGAGTAAGCCAAGCAAAAAGCCACTTTGTGTCCTTCCGAAACGTCGGTTGACTTTCTCCGGACTACGGAGAGTTACACCCCACAAGGAGCGTTTAACAGCCTATCAGCTTTATGGAACAGGAAGATGGCTCGTGAAACACGGAAGCTGCTGTCCCTTGGGTCTGATGACTTTACGGGCAATTAATCGGCGTGTCTCAACCATACCGACGCGACGCGAGTAAATATTCAGCGGTCACGGGGGTCACGTTAAGAGGTGAACGGACTTGGGACCCGAATGTTTGCATGGATGTAGAAACTTCTCCGGGCAACAAACCGTCAAGTCGAAGTGGGGGAGGAAGACCGTGCTGGGCGGAAAAGTTACGGTTTTGCAAAGACTGGTTGTTCTACATGGAACACAGAAGTACTTTTCTCCCGGCGGTGATGACGTTTAGCTTTACAGATAAGTGTCTGTTGGAGGGACAAATTTCCCACCTTTATAGGGTGTTTGTGCCAAGTATTGAGCAATAATATTTAACACTTCATAACTGTACATTCACACCCGTACCGGAACTAATCATCTCGCTTTTCTGATAAAAAAACACGATGGCTGAAGAGCGAAATCTATATTTCGCATCCCAGATATGGGAGATTTTGCACTGAAATTGTGCACAGAACTGAATGTTTGTTGCCAAGTTAAGTAGCTCCTTCTAGCCTTACCGAACATATTTAAGAATATGAATGAAATAAGAGTTATGAAATCATCCACAGCTACTTGTAATATGATCCTAGGTCCTTCCTTTTAGTATATTCCTTCAAACAAAATGGCATATCAGCCGCGAATGCCTCATTTGTGCGGCCTCCAAACTGAATGAGAACTGCGAGTGAATAACTACGTCCTTCAGGACATGGCAATCGCGTTACTAGAAACCCTCTAGCTCTGTGCAAAACAGCAGCAATGTTGTCACAAGTGCTAACATCCTTGTCGCTAATTTCTTTCTTACCAGGTCACTTTCACTAAAGCAAACGAAGTGTTGCTAATTCAAAATTCTCGATTCTATTACCCAGTTATTAATGTGTTGGAAGTCTCTTGTTATTTACCGACGAAGTTCGACAACAGTGGACAGAGGTTCGAATTAGGGCGGCTACACTCTTTGGACAAGGATATTGAAACAGACGGTCGTAGCTTTATTTCCGAGTATATCGAACTTAATTGTCTTCGCTTGCTCGGAAGCCGGGATCGTGAGTTCCATTCCCACTCAGGGCATGGATGTTTGTGTGCGTTTTTCTGTGTTTGTGTACAGGTAGAGGCTTTGCGACGAGCTGATCACCCGCCCAAGGAGTCCTACCGTATGTCTAAGATCTAGTAAAATCGAAGTGAAAACGGAGAGTTTCATGGAGGTAGGCCTAGGCCCAAATTGGGGCTGTAGCGTCAATGAAAAAAAAATATTAAACTTAATTACAGTGAAAACTGGATGGCATTATGCAAGTGAGAGTCAGTGAACAGGTCAAAAATTGAATTAAAACAGCGGTAATGGATGAAATAAGTTTTCTATTTATATATGTGGGTAGCAGCAATCTAGTTTCATGACAGTATAGGTAGCAGACGCGCATGCGCATGTTTAGGGCTGATTTCAATAATCAAAATGGTGACCGTGCTTAAAGGGTGTACTAGCAAACAGCAGCGTTCTCTTGTGCGTTTCTTTTTTGTACGGAAAAAGAACTCAATACAAAGGATATTCATAAAGAACTGTTTCCTGTTTACGGTGGGAAATGTCTGTAGCGTAAAGCGGTTCACAACTGGGTCGAAAAGTTTTCTCAGGGACGTTCGAAAGGGCAGAAGATGCCGGACCAGGTGCCGGAGTCGCTAATGCAACAGTCACATGACTTGCATGCTGCGGGTTTAGGCGCAATGGTACAGCGATGGGACAAGTGTATCAGTGTTGGTGGAGAATACGTCGAGAAGTATGTTTTTTTCAGGTTCGAATATCACATGTTTTACATTTTGTATCCATTTTCGCTTATTGGGGGGTGGAGTCCAACTGGGTCCACTCGGCACGGCGTCCACTGATTGGCCTATTGTAGCCTACCCGGGTGATTATGATGATGGAGAATTTGGTGGAATGAAGATTGGCAGGGGAAACCGAAATACTCGGAGAAAACCCGCCCCAGCGCCACTTTGTCCACCACAAATCCCACTTGACCAGACCCGGGGCCGAACCCGGGCCGCGGTCTATATCCATTTGTGGCCTATTTACTGGCTCTCTCTCGTGTTATAAATTTGAATAATCTGTATTTATTTATAAAAATACAATATTGTCTATGCGCTTAATTATACACACCACGAAGACGTGCAGGGGACTGGCGTTTTAGCTCCACGCGTGCTTACCTTCCTCCCGAGATGGAGGTGAGTGGTAAGCTTCACGCCGCGGCAGCCCACCCATGGGAAAAGTCCCGGTACCCAGTGGACTGAGTCTGGGTGCTCCGCAGAGTCGATCTGGTTGAGGCGGAGAACAGAGAAGATTCTCTGTCCAGCCCGCAGCCTAGAAACTATGCTGACTGAGGTATACTATCCTAGAAACTATGCTGAGGTATACTAGCCTAGTAACTATGCTGACTGGGTATACCAGCCTATAAACTACGCTGACTGAGGTATACTATCCTAGAAACTATGCTGAGGTATACTAGCCTAGTAACTATGCTGACTGGGTATACCAGCCTATAAACTACGCTGACTGAGGTATACTATCCTAGAAACTATGCTGAGGTATACTAGCCTAGTAACTATGCTGACTGAGGTATACTAGCCTAGTAACTACGCTGACTGAGGTATACTAGCCTAGAAACTACGCTGACTGAGGTATACTGTCCTAGAAACTATGCTGAGGTATACTAGTCTAGTGACTATGCTGACTGAGGTATACTAGCCGAGTAACTACGCTGACTGAGGTATACTAGCCTAGTAACTACGCTGACTGAGGTAGAATAGCCTAGTAACTACGCTGACTGAGGTAGAATAGCCTAGTAACTACGGTGACCGAGGTATACTACTCGTAACTCCCATTTATTTATCTGAATTATTCACTTATTTTTGTCTTTCCCTTTTATATATACATTTTCATTTTGCTTCCGCCTTTCTTGGTGTAATTCTGCTTCTTGTTCTGTCCTTCTGTATCTGTTTTGTTTCCGCTTTAATTTCCTTATTTGTTTTCTCCTCTTAGCTCTCTTTCTTCTGTTTAAAAGGTCAGAGTAACAGCTGAGCTTGCAAGGGGATTGTAATGTCGAATGCTGCGCGTCAAGGAGGGAAAACAAGTGAGAGGAGGAGAACATTTACGGGTCTCGCAAGGGAACTCCCGAAATAAGGCAGCTGACATTCGGTACTTCCTACGCCAGTGATTCAGAAGTGGGTCTGCTCTCTACGAATTCTAACATTAAATCGAGACGTACTTAAATGTACGCAGAATCTTCGCTGGGATCGTGGTTTCGAATCCCAATCAAGGCATGGATGTCTGCGTGTGTTTATTCTGTATTCGTGTCGTTCTGTGTGTACGTGGCGGCCTTGCGACGGGCTGATCCCCCGTCCAAGGAGTCCTACCAACTGTGCACAGGATTAAGAAACTGAAAACGCGGCCAAGGTCCAGTGAAAGGAGAGTAGATACTCGTAGACAGATAGATTGATTGATAGATAGATAGACAGACAGACAGACAGATAACACCTGCACCATGAGATTCACATTAGCTTGTATCAGGACTGTGATGGCATTCGACACGCGTATTCTATCCTCTGGATTGCCAATGAAAATCTCTCTTAAGATTGAAAACATCATTGTTAAACAAACAGCATGGCGCTGTGCCTAATAGTTTGGGCACACTGCCATCACGGTCTTTGCCACTCCTCTTTCCGCACAGACTGAAGCCTTGGAATGTCATTCGCAGAGATGTACATGGCGCAGTTGGAGGGGCCAGGTGCCTGGATAAATAGCCATGCAAATAGAGAGAATTCTTCCGAAAAACAATAAATATTTACATCGCTACCTACGTCTGTGAGAAGCAAGTGAGGAGTCTATACTTCCAGTAAACATACATCTTTGCCATTTTAATAACTGACTTGCGTTGATGTTTACTGCTGATACACCTGTACAGTCTGAAAGCTTGTAACTAAACTCTGAAATTATTTTAACTTGCACTCACTATATTTAAAATATTAATATTAAAATAATTTTATATTTATTTTCAGACTGATAGGACGGTTGAATAGAAATGACGAGACAATCTCACTCAGGATAGCGGGCTACCCAGCCCAGATACGAACCGATCACCTCTCGAGTACAAGAGGAGCAAAATTACTCGGTACGTAATCAAATTCTACTTCACACCTGTCTTTCACATTATGTGCTTTTTTTAATAAGCGGTTTTTCGAAGCAACATAAAATAATTAAATAGGTGGCTTGCAACTTTCCACACAAAGTGATGTAGGCCCTTTAACCGATGAAGTACAGCAGGCCGACTCTGCATCTAATTAGACCTACTCTACTACGCCACTGAATGCCTATAATTTAGATGTTATGGTACAGCAAGGATTCTCAGACTCTGTGACATCGCAGTCACCCGAGATAATATATGTAATGTGACACGTCAACCCACTGCGAGGCAACGGCTCGATAAACACCTCGCGGTACATGCATGCAGCAATGAAACGGGGTTATGCAACCCGCTTCTAGGAAACGGCTCGGTAAACACACTTCCGCGCAGGAACAATGACGTCACGCTCCAACAGTACTTGGATATCACGTGACTTGTTTTCTGTGTGGTCTGCGCTACGCAACAGTAGAATTATGTTTTCTGTGTTGTCCGTGTAGCGGCTATATAACACGAGTCCGCTTGCAGCTAAGGAGAGTTTTCTATTGATTTCCGTGATTTCAGGGTGACTGAACAAGAAATGGCGAGAAGACTTCATACTGATTTCAAGTGCTAGTTTCTGTGTTGAGATCCGTTGCTAGGAGACGACCGTGGAAACTGAGAATTTTAGTGCGTGTGCAACGGTGAACTGTAAATTGTGTAAATCGGCGATATCGCTGTATTAAGTGTAATTAAGAGAGAGAGAGTGCAACCGAAGTGCTAATAAATCCAATCATCTAATTTCTAGCCCGTTATTTTCGTCACGCGTACCCCGTACATGTGACAATATGCATGCCGGTCAGAGAAAAGTTTAGTTCTGCACATTTCTACAGGTTCCCATCAGGCTGTGTGGTAACGGCAAGTACATAAATAGCTTTACGACCTCTGTGTGTTATGAAGTGTTCCTCTGTAGTCACAACTAGTGTATTCTTCACACTGCTAGGCTGATACCTAACAACGTAAACCTGAACAGCGTTACAACCTCTGCAAGCTATAAAATGTTCCTGCGCAGTCACGACACAAATGCGCAACATTTTGCCGGTTTTCGCTACATTTTCCAACAGCCCTGGACGGGTGACCGTGTGTGAACGCTAGTCTTCGATGATCCTTTGATGCATTCGAACCCCCTTAAAGGGTAAATTCACTCCCTGCACAACTTTTCTGGTGCACTGTTTTTGCTGCCTCAGACAGGCCACCAACCTGCACTCCCTCTACCCCCTCCCCCGTGGATTTTACGAAACATGAACCTACATATATATATGCAAAACTCATCCACCTTGCGCATTTAGAACATGACGATGGAAGCGGCATATACATCCGATACGTCGGTGGTAATACGATGTAACCACCCAAGAGCTGAATTAACACCAACAGCTAAAAACTGTAAAAGCCCAACATTAATAACTAACACTAAATTTTACTGTATTTATGATTTGCGAAACTGAGCTAGGTACAATTATATTTTACATATACAAGGGGTCGATAACCCCAGTCTGATAACCACGGGATACAGTATAATTCCTCCCCGGCTTTGGCAAAAGAATCCGAGTGGTGTGGTATTTCAACTAGGTTCGAGCTTTTTTTTTTTTTTTGTGCTTTTGTGTTGGAGATGAGCCATGGCGGGACATCTGACGAACACATTACTTGCACAGTACACGGAGAAGCTTATTGCGCCATAAATCAGAAATGTCAACTGGTACAGGCCACGAAATTGATCTTCTCATGTCACTGAAAGTTGTAAATGGGACAGAAATGAATAGTGCATATTAATACACTTGCCGACTAAAATTAAGCCTGTCCTATATGAGCGGCGTCACGGCAGAGTTCCGTAGCAAGCGAGTTCTGCAGGATACGAAGGAGGAATAAACCTTGCTTCATATCGAAAATACTGTCAGTGCCGCCATACTCGTATTCTCTTAAACAGTTCCACAGTACAAGACCGGGCCTGAAATTCCATGTATTTAAGCTATCTCAATTTTCATCACAGCATCCACAAAATCCGGCCACTGGGACCTCATGTTCATCAGGTTGGAACAAATCAACAGTTTGAAACTAAATTTAGTACCATTCTTACCGCAATGTCTAGATATGACAAGTCACACCGTCTGTTTACTTTCCCGTAACTACTTTTATGCATATTTCACTCAGCGTATGCGTGCTACATGACCTGTATACTGTATATTGTGCCTCTAATTTTATGTTTCTAATTATACATGGTGAGGAGCTTCATAACTTTTACTCTTCTCCAAGTATAATTAGAATGATCAACTCAAGGAGGATGTGGTGGGCAGGGCATGTAGCACGAATGGGAGAGACGAGGAATGCATATAGGATATTGGTGGGAAAGCCAGAAGGAAAGAGATAACTGGGAAGACCAAGACGTAAGTGGATAAACAATATTAAAATGAATTTTAGAGACATTGGATGGGATGGGATGATATGGACTGACTTGATCTCGCTCAGTATAGGGACCAGTGGAGGGCTCTTGTGAACACGGTAATGAACTTTCGGGTTCCATAAAATGCTGGGAAGTTCTTGAGTAGCGGCACAATTGACGGCTTCTCAAGAAGGGCTCAGCTCCATGAGTGATTTAACAAAATACGATAACTGCCGAGCAGCGAAACTGACCAGAACGTTAAAATGACAGAATAGTAAATAAATGAGCGCCGGTCACATTGACGTTATTACAGATTTAAATTGCGGCCCGACGCGACGAACAGAAGAAGAAGAAGAAGAAGATGATGATGATGATGATGATGATGTTGATGTTGATACAATAACTAACTAAATTACTAGAATGTTGAAAATAATCCTACGGATTATATTTTTTTTATTATTTAAGACAATTTATGATATTTATAAAAATAATACTTTTAACATTAAGTAAATTAAGGTCGTGTACCTTTTTACAGTTAACTTGGTTTTGCCACACGATTGTAACATTACGGAAATCATAAATTTGTCTGCGTGACGTGAACTGCCCCGGTAATGATTACAAACATGTCATGCTCATTTGATGTATTGTAGTGACAAATACATACATGTATATTACAACACAACGGCGTATCTTCCGATGTGGGAGTCTAGATATCCTCAGCACGAAATTAAATATCTGTGCTACCCTGCTTGTGACTAATGTTATAATGTATTATTATACTGCACCTCGCAGAGAGGCTACAGCCTCGTGACTTGCCGGGAAGCAAGAGTCGATACTTGTAGATCTGCCCCTAGCACGCCCGTGACCCGCATCACGCACACTGGAGTGGGAACTGACAAACCGGTTTGGCATGCTCAAGTCACACAGCAGCTTTTTATTGCCTCGCACTTCTCCGTCTTTTGTTACTCTTAATTCTAGGCTCACCTTCTCACAAGACACCCGCCCCCCCCGCAACACTTACAAACCGAAACCACTTCGCGAACTCAATCAACATTGCAGCTTACTGCACCCCCGCCACTTCTGTTTCAATTGAGACAATTTCTTTCGCCAACTTCAAATTGCCATTCAACTGCTACACAATTCAACCGTCAAAATTTCTTTCCTTCTTAAGTTTGCACATAAATTCAATTCAATTCTCTATGTGCCGAGTCAACACCTACAAGGCCAATTACAGACACAGCACAGCGTAGATACAAGGTAATAGTAAGGTAAAGCTATCCTTGTACCGGACCATGGAGGCCTATAGGGTTGTGAGACGTCGAGGCTCTCACACTTTCTTGACAAATCGGCTCACAGATGGCGGTAAGGTTGTCAACCTTACGCGCGGGCCGCTCTTTACCCCCCGGAAGGTTCCTGGTACTCATTTCTGTTACAGGCTGAGTCGACCCCAGGGCCATAGTACGGCTGGAAGGTTTAGGTCAACCGGCTTGTAGCATAGCACGTCAACAAACTACGCTACCGTGTAAGTGTAGATACAAGTGATTACATTATGGACAAACACAACATAAACTTAAAGACAAATTACAGGCAAACACTGGAGGAAAACATATCAATGCAGAAAAGTAAACAAACAAATAATAATAATAATAATGCTCCTGTGCTTAAGATCAAAGATATGGAGGCGTATGGACAATGTGGAGGTAAGTTCCTCAAATTCTACATCTCAAACGTAGCTGCAATGAGATAGCAACGGCATGTACCACGAAAGAGCCGTATTCTGACGCTTAGGGCCAGGGCACACCAAGGAAACTGGAAACCACAAAATCGAGAAATGTCGCCGATTTCGAGCAGTCAACTGGTTTTCGGGTTAGAAGGCGCACACTGGGGAAACTTGTGTCTGAGTGATTTCTCACATCATCTTAAGTGGGTATGTTCGTCCGACGTAAGGACGACTGTATTTTGTAATTTCGTGCACTTGCCTTCTGCAGTGGAAGATAATAATACTGACCTGTCATAATGTGGTGATAGTGGGGACCGGTTGAGACGGCGTGAGAAGAGCGGACAACGACCGTAAGGGAAATATTGTGATGTTAATTATTTTAATTAAGGTCAATTTATTTTAATCAGGAAATACCGCGTTCACACGCGATACGCAATTCTGACATACAGTGTAACAATTTTAGCAAGCCAGAAGACACCTGATGATGGCCGTATATAGGCGAACCGTGTAATGTGGAAGAAGGGTGACTATATAATAATTGTATTTAAGACGGAAATATATGTGAAATAAATGATATATTAATGCAACAGGATGCTTAAATTTAATGTTAGGGGTAGAAAACATCGCATGTGTCCGTTCTTCTGTGACAATCTAAATTGAGGCGCTTATGTTGTTTCGAAAGAACTTAACCTGGATCCAAACTCCTTCGTCTCACGAGAAATTCTTTCCCAAGTCAAATCTGTTTTGTCCTGCCTAGCACAGCCTGGGTGGCTTTTGTCATATATATATATATACAACGCTCTTGCTAAATTAACTGCACAAAAACAAAATCAGCAACTTCGTAAACCTTTCGTGCCATCTTAAGGAACAAATGAATCACCGAGGCGCGCTATAGAACAGCTGATACAAGGAAACCGCGCGGCAACGCAACTGTGAGAAGACTGGCATGCTCCGTTGCCTGGAAGTTGAGTTTCTCAGCCCTACTCGAGTTCCGTTGCCGTTTCCTCAATTTGCGCTGCTCTATTCAGTAACATGTGTTCAACTCAGGCTAATAACAATTCTCGGAAATTGCAGTTGCGTTGCGGTTGCCAGTTTCCTTGGTGTGCTCTCGCCCTTAGTCGCAAAGCATGACGGGAAGGGGCCACTTGGAAACGCTAGGAGAGGACGGGAGATAACATTAAACTGGATGCACGGATGTGGAGCTGCTTCGTGTTACTCGGGATGGAGCAGATCGGCAAGATCTCAGGAAAGCGCTAACTAAATTTTTGGTTCCATAAAGAGTGAGCAAATTTTTTAAAAGAGCTGCGCAGATGCCTAACATATCTGGCGTATTCAGCAGGTTCCCGGTTCGAACCTCGGCTCCGATACCGACTATCCTGACTACGGTTTCTCGTGCACATAAATGTCGGGTTGGTAGTACAACCCCTTCCTTCCACACCCTTTCTAATTCATCATTCGCACATCCCTACCACTCGACGCTCCAGTCTGCGATAGTAATAGCGTCTCTAA